AAAAAATATTTCTCCGGCATAACAGTTATCAGGCAAGGTAAAATATAAACGTTGGGTTATAACTCTTATCGGCGAAATAAAAAAATTTTCTCATCTAATAACTGTTATGGGGCAAGGTTTTTGCGATAAAACTTATAACTGTTATGTCCGTGGTCAAAACATTTTTAAAACGCCTGCTCCAGCATTCATGCCACACATAGATCTGCACAGACCTGTTTGGTCCGTTTGAGCCATTACGTTTGCAAACACTAATAAAACCCAACACAAACACAAAAGAGGTCTGATTTTATGCTTATTGTGTTCGCCGTAGCCGCTTCTAGGAAGTCATGGAAGGATTCGTCTCTAGCACGCAAAACTAAAAAGTTATACACACGTTTATATGCAAAAGGTCTGCACAGACCTGGTTGAACCTCCTAGGGTTAAGCTGCTCCTTTATACCCACTTTCCCGTGAACGCTACTGCGCGAAAAAATACCTCTTCTCTTATCTTTTCCAATACTATGAACATACCGGAATTAAGTAAGATACTGGAAGTGTCTGCGAAATGGCTTTCAACTTTTTCCAGGCCGGTTTCAAGCTAAGTAACATATCGTTGGCGTGAAGAATTATCACGGCTATTTTCATTTCCAAAGCCGACAAGACCTCATATATTAAACCGAAGGACCTTAGGCCTAACAGCCATTCTTCTTTTTGAAAGGATGTTAGGAACTTCCCTTCTGACACCATCGACAGTCGTCTATTTTCTGACGACCAACATGCATATCTACCGAAAAAGTGGATCTACGGAGACCGCACTTCACAGCTTGGTCTCTTATATTGGGAAGTGCTTCAGCGGGACAGATTCCGTAGCCCTCTACATTTGTAAAAGAACAATGGGTAAAAATGCGGCCTAAATCCCTGAATTAGCCGATGAATAATTACAGCTCTCGTTAGGCTAATTCTCCTGTATGGAGTTATCGTACGGTGGCCTGCATTAGAAAACAGGTCAACCTCAGGCGACTCACCAGTCTACAAAGTATTTGTATTGTATTTGACATAACAACAGATGGCGGAGCTCGCTGATAAGGAAGGAGTGGAAAGAAGGTATTAACACTCCACCTGATAGTATTTATGTATATACAGAAGGCTCGAAACTCGATAGTACGGTTTGAGGAGGCGGCTTCTTATGAAACCATCCTCGAAAAATTTATTTTGGGTTACCATACTACTGCAGAGTATACCACGCTGAGGTTTAAGTTATCATGGAGCCTGTTAAGAAGCTGGATCCGAAATCCTACGCTGCAGCGATCAAGAAGCCCGAAACTCCATTTTGTATCGACCCATCTGTGTAAAATATCACTGGTACCTGCTCTCAACCACTGACATTCATACGTAGAGAGGATTTGAGTGGATACAAATCTAATATGTCTCAGTCTATTCGCGCCCGAAAATTACAGTATGCTTACTGCGCCTTAGCTACGATATCGACTGATGCTAAGTTGGGGCATGACTTTTAAGACTCAAGGCGGCAGTAGCCCAACTTAATGACAAGCGTAGTCATTTCTAGCCCAAGCCATTAGACGAACATATAATGGGTTTTAGGAAATTTTCTTTGAAGGAGGAGAAACCTTTTACCGATTATTTTCTTCCTCAGTGTAGGACTTCCAAGACATCCTCCAATCCATAATAAAATATCTGGTCTTGACTCTACAGCGTGGCGACGAATAACTGTTAACTCGGTTTTTTTGAGAAATAAAAGGGTCCTTTATAGATTTTGCGAAAAAAGTACTTTATTGTTAATTTTCCACAGATTTAACTTTAGTTGTATTAATTAGTTTTTAAATTTTAATCCTTATTTACATTTGCCAGCAGTGTAAACTTTGAGAGAAAAGTTCATTTGGCACGCAGGTCTTCGTCAGTTAATTTATTCCATATCTTCTGTAGCCATAGGCAGATTTTCTCCATTTTGAGTCCCTTATACTTCCTCTTTTGTCCAACATAAGGCCTCATACTCATAAATCAAATAGACTCGGAACTGGAGACTAGGACGGCCATTCATTCGACCAACCTTATACAGTTTTTTTCTTTTTTGTATTTTTTTATACAAAGCCTAAGAAAAAATACACCTGAAAAAGGCGTGCCAAGCGAACTTTTCTCTCAATGTTTAAACTGCTGGCAAATGAAAATAAGGATTAAAATTTAATAACTAATTACTACAACTACAGTAAAATTTGTGGAAAATTAACAATAAAATCCTTTTTTCGCAAAATCTATCAAGGACCCTTTTCTAAAAAAAACGGGGTAACAGTTATTCGTCGCCACGCTGTAGTCACAAGTAGCCTTAAACTCATCCGCAGACGGCGTCATGCCGAGAACTGACTCATTCCCTTATAGGGTTAAGTGTTTAGAGCTGATCAGTGTAAGTCGGTAGTCATTTCACCTAACAACGGTTTCAATGAACGGCGGAAATTGCAGTTTAGCCTAGTGAGTGCCACCTCAGCATACGCAAGTGGAAGAATACCACATCCATCAGCTCGGGTATCGATAAATCTAATTTCATTAACAAATCTTATTCAAAGACAAAATCAGGGTCATTACCGTTCTAATCCCAAGAGTTATTAGAAATTGGTCTTAGTTTGTTCTCTTGTAAGCCCTAACGTTTTTAAGTGTTCAAAATAAATTGTTTAAAATTAAATTCTTTTACCCGTTTATTGCTCAGTGGACTTCATGTACATACATTAAAACAGTGAAATTAAAGCGAAAACGTTAAAACTATGGTCACGTGGGCGGATCTATTCCACAAATGTAGGACGAATGCATACCTCACCAAAATTGATGCAACGTAAAACGTTACGAAAAAAGTGCAAATCAGATGGGCGATGCTCAACTGTAACAAGGAAATGGCAAACACGCGCGTGTCACTGCCAAGCACATACCCAACCACGCAGGCAAATCAAAATTCTATTTCCGGTCTAGGGAAATTCTTCTTTGGCCACACCAGGCAACCTAACTGCAACGAAGTCTTACAAAAAAAAAATATTAGAAAAAAATACGCAAAGAAAACACCGACAGCTCAGCATACACGCATGCTGATACAGTATTGTAGGCGTGTGCGTATACTGCGAACTGCTTTTATGTCAGCTTAAAATTGTGCAGAATTTGATGCGCACTGTCAGCGCTTGGCACTGGCTGCCGTCGATGCTAGCAGTGCTTTAAATAGCAGTCAGTTATTCTAGGAGCGCAATAAAGGCAAACATATTAGAGGTTATATGTGTATATATGTATATCTATGTATATTAGGGCGGGTTAATTTATATAGGACTTTTTTTTACCATAAACGTATAGCACAGAAGGATTCTACGTGTAATTCTAGTCAAATTTGCCGAAGAAACCATGGATTATAAAATCAATTTAGAGTTTGCCAAATTGCCAAAATAGGTTTGTTAGCATCTTGATGTAGTGTCTTAAAGAAGCGCTTAAATGTTGTATAAAACATGCTACAAGGGGTTTTTGGTATCCTATTCTGCACTTACGTTTTTCTTAAAACTTCCACCAGAAGGCGCAAGAGTGAAAACTTAAAATTGATTTTAGACTTTCTTCGACAAATTTGCCTAGAATTACTCGTGGAATCCTTTTGTACTATACGCGCATAGTTGAAAAAATTTACCCACCCTAATGTACACTCTTATATGTATATATAGCAGTCACATTTTCAATCTCTGTCATTTCACAGGAAGGAATTTTTACCAAAGGAGCAAGTAAAAAAATTTAATAAAAAAATGATTTCCACTGCCAAAGACGACGACAACGACAGCGACAGAAAATCGCTTTTCCTCCTCCCTCAAAGCATTCAATATCAGATAAGAGCGTGCGCGCATACATAAAGAAATTTATAACGAATTTTTCACAAATTATTTGCTTATTTCTATTTAAATATTGAAAACCCAAACAGCCGGCGAAAAAGGGCAAACAATTGTAAAATAAAAATGGCAGTCATAACAGCCGAACCTTCGAGTCCCAGTTTTCCAATAGTTGCGTGCCTTCACATTGATTGTCGTTTTGCCAGTGCGACATATAATGCTTCCACATTGGAGTAGACTGAACTGCATACACCTAGGCGTATGAGCATTACGGCGCACACGGGTTATGTGTTTAAAGGACAATGTGCGCGTTGTAGATTTGTTTGCGTACATACATACATACCCAATAAACATTGTGGCGAAGCTTCGAAAAAAGCTTCGATAACCAATATGAATATCGAACGGAGAACGAACTCATATTCAACCTTAGTTTCCCAACGTTCATAGTATATTGGAAATACACTCGAAATGGGTTCGAAAAAAAAACCATAAGTAACGAGAGAGAAAGTGAACTCCAGCTCATTCTCGAAGGGATATATAAGACAATCACTCTCTCTCATTAAAATTTCAATTCAATAATGGGCTGGGTTTCGAATTCATAACGAAGGGAAAATACATTGGATAACGAAGGTTCCATTTTGTTGGAGAATGGCCTAGTTCTCTGCCAATAACATTATGGTACGATTTTTACTGTACTGTTTAATATGTTGGGTAGTAAAAGAAAAATAAAATCACTTTTGAATATCACTTGGATGTACGTGTCGTTTTAGTTTTTTTAGTCGAAACATGTTACTGGCAAATAAGTCGATTTGTCCCATGCAGTGTTGCCACTCAATACAACCTTTTCTTAAGAAAATTTCCACCAAAATGGAAACAATTTTGTTAAAACCTTTACATTCTTTCAGGCAGGAATACTACATTGTTATTCTCCCGGTCACACAAAAAAAAAAATTGTTTGGAGTTCACTTTTTATGTGCATTTGGGCCTGCTGATTCTGAAAATGACACCCACAAGTTTTTATAGATTTCGAGATAGAGCTGGTGCTGAAGTCTTTTCATGATTTCGAAACTTTAAAAAGTGATTTGAATTTTTAACATAAAAACACACAAATTTTCATATCCAACAGTGTACACT